GAGATTTTGGATCATAATTGAAGAGGATATTGTGAGTTTTCCAACGATATCAAAATCCGGAGGCTTTGGTAGTCGAAACTCATCGAAAAATCTCCTTAAAAGTCGTCCAAAAAATCTACAAATCTGAGCAGATTTTCAGTTTTTTAGGTGAATTTTGCGTTGATTTTCCGCTCGAATCCATTGGAGTTACGAGGAGATTTTGGATCATAATTGAAGAGGATATTGTGGACTTTCCAATGGTATTAAATTTCGGCGGTATCGATGGTTGGAAGTAGTCAAAAAGTTGCCGCAAAAATAGCACCAAAAATTGAAAAAGTGTTTTAAAATTTCGGTAACCGTTTCTGAAAGTTTTTAAATTTTAGTGATCGTTTTTTAAAACTCTCCGAAACTTAAGTGACCGTTACTGAAAATTTTAAACTTTAGTGATGGTTTTGTAATTTTCACATAAGTTCAGTGACGTTTGTGAAATTAACCCATTTTTTATAGCTATTTACCTACATTGAATTAAAAACCTTTATATAGCAATTTACACACTAGTATTTAAGACAACATGAAATTAAAAATAACTTCATTACGAAAGTTTTAATCCATACATAATAAAATTTTCATACGTTCTATTGCTTCTTTAAAACACAGTAAACACTCCAATACAGACATGAGTTCAAAAGACTAACCAAAGATTGTCACAGGCATACACAGTGGGCAAATACTGATGATTTACAATAGAAACGCTAAAAAAATGTCCGAAAGCTATATAAATGTTGAAAAGACTCCCATAATAATGCACATAATCAATATTACCAAAACTTCAAACGAGATGTCCTAGAGCAATCTTCTTACATAAACGAGATCCAAAAAGATATAGGCACAAGGGAACTCTCTTTTAGAGTCTTTCCTTAACTCAATTCGGTTCCATATAACTGCAATAAGGAATGAATATATAGGTTAGGTTCGTTAACTAATAACATAGAGACCTCGAGCACAAAATTAACTAGTGTCTTCAATCTTAGGCTTTGTATGTCTATCATTATACTACATTATTTTTTTAAACAACGGCAAACTATTGTGGTGTACACGTAACTAGTCATCCTTTTCTCATAGAGGTAACCATTTCATGCAATAATAAAATGTAAACTTTGTTAAGTTCTTTAAAATGAAAAGTAAAATCTTTTAAGAATTCAAAATACTACTAATGGGTGTCTCGGTTCGTCATCGATATACTCAATAAGAAATGTGACATAAAATGTTTATTCTATTATTATATAATTATCTATGAAAATTGTACGTATCTTCCTGAGTATTTTTGAATACTCATTCTTATAATAATAGTTAGTTCATTGTGTTTATTTTTAAAGATACAGTTTCCAATGTTTTAATTTAAATTTATGAATGTTCCAATTATTTTTATTAAAGAATTTTATTTTATCATTTCGCTTTTAATACAAAGAAAAGTGAATTTTATCGTTCCAGTAATTTTATTATTTTCATTTTTTTTGTTCGTACAAAAATCCATTTATATCTAACATGGATTATATTTTTAGGTGTTCAAACTATAGGTTCAAATACTTTTCATTTCTCTAATGAGTTCAATTCCACCCGTATGACTTCTTTCCATTTTGGCGAATCACTTCTATGTTGATAGTTTTAACAGACTGTGGTTCAGAATTCTCATTTTGTATAATATTAAAAGTCACGTCAAATGCAAAAATATTGTTTATAACAATATTATTTTATTCTCATAATTTATAAGATAACATATAATTTATTGAAATATCATTATTTTTGTACACTAGAACTATAATTTTCAATATTTGATTGATCAATCTTTTCTAAATTTACCTTTTCTGAAGTTTTTCGTTCATTTTTCTCCTTCGCCTTTCTTTCTTGATTTCCAAAGTCTTCTGAACCAATTAATCGACCATGCTTCTGGTGTATTTAAGATTCGTTTACTACAGCAGATTGTCCTTTAGAGACATCAATTTTTGCTGAAATATTTTCTACTATTATATATACTGTCATTTTTCTTATGTCAAAAAATACATTAGGTAACTGAATTGTAACCTTTGAAAATGATTGATTTTTTTATCCTTTAACTCACATTTATTGCTATGGGAATGAAAGTTCTAAGAAAATTTAGCTTGTAATTTTATGATTTGATGGAGTAGTCTAGCAAAGTTATATTACTAGTGAAAAGTAGGCAAACATATGACAATCTAGTAGAAGAATCAATTAATATATAAAATAATGAAATGGTCTACATGGTGGGTATATTGGCCCACGTTTATTACCATGAATTCTTTCCAAAAGAGTTGGAGATTCAATATTAACATTTGTAGTTGAAAGTCTAATGACTAACTTGTCTTACATACAATCTATACATGGATAATAATTAAGTAAATGAATCTTCCAGTTTTTTAAAAGATGTCCACATAAGTTGTTTATAATTCTACGCATTGTCATAGCTCCTAGATGTTCAAATCGATTAGACCAAAGTACAAAAATTTTTGGGCCAAAGAACATCTGGTTCTTGATAATATTTAATTCAATCATTTTTATAAATGTATAATACATGCCTGATAGGAGTGCCTAAAAATTTTCTTTTATCTACTTCTAACTAGATATAAAAGAAGTTATGCAAAGATATTCGACATTATTTTTTTGCATCGTTTCAATGTAATATCCATTGCAGTGAATATATATAAAACTAAGCAAATTTATTCTCTGTTTGCTATAATAAAGTTTATTTGTCAACATATAATTTTATGTTATTTGGAAAACTAATGTAGGCTCTTCCAAAGCCTTCAACGATATTACATGCACATGATATTGTATTAACATTATCTTCTGCTAATGGCAAGTCCAAAAAATATTATCTTGAAGAATAGCATATGTAATTGCATTATTAATCAAGCAAGTGTTTTGAAACTCATCATGAATCTATAAATATAATAAAATAGATATATTTAAAAAATGAATTTAAATTTAAAAGGGTAAATATAAATCAATATTATGAAATTAACGATGAATAATAAAGTTTAAATTATTTTTTTCAAAAAGTAAAAATATTTTTCAAATTGAATTTCTAAAACAATAGAAAATACTAAACTGTAAGCTAATCTATATCTTTCATCATACCACCCTCAACCAAATAGTCAATATTCCATTTGAATCAGCAAAGAAATAAGAGACATCTAAATGAGTTACGTCAGTTAGACCATCATAATCAGCAAAATTTGACTCTATTTTTCCTATTCCCTTGATTGATATTTGGTAGAAATCCAAAGACGATTTGCTGCAGGACAAGTATGTGCCCAATACCCTCCATTCCACATTTAAAATAACTTTTTTCGTGCTCCTTTTTGGATGGATTACTTTCGTTTGCTTTATGCCTTTTAAAATTGTTGCTTTATTATTGATAGCTCTGTTAACTATTTCGTCCATAGTTTATTCTGTGTCCACGTCCAAATTCGTGTCTACATTCATATCCACGTCCACGTCAACGTTATTGCCTTGATATTGTATTTGTCTTAAACAATGTAGTATTATTCACTTCAAGCAATGATACAAAATCAGTTGGACCTAATCCACGTTGGCGACAGAAAAATAAAATGAAAAAAAAAAAGAATTTATATGTAAAGGGTTGTAAAATAAGTCTGCTGTAATCAGTTAAAAAAATCTGTCATAATCAAGCAGGGTACACAGCTTATTGTCACGACCCGCTCGATCTTGGCACAAGAAGATCGAGAAATTTAAAATGTTGACGAGTTGGGGCTAGCCGGAATATTCTAGACTCCCACAAGTGCATGAAGATTGCTAGAATATGGTGGGACATTCTAGAAACTACAAGCCCCTCACTTGGTGGATTAATCTAGATCATCCTAGTTTAGTCCCTAGATATTTTGATGTAGATATTTGTATAGATAATTCTAGAGTTGTAATTTAGACCGTTGGATAGAAAAGATCCTAGCCATCCATTTGAGGAGGCTACCACTATAAATAGCTTGGTAGGATTCATTTGAAGAGATCAAGAGAGTGAAGTTGTAAAAAGTATTCATTATTCAATACAAAGCCTTCTTTGTAAGCTCTTGTGTTCCTTCATTGTCCCTTTCTTAAAGTGTTATACTTAGTGCCTTTCTAAGACATCAACGCCAATCGGGAGGCTGACTTAGTGTAATAACCGCGGGGCGGAAGTTGAAGACACTAAGGCCGCACGGTTCTTGGAGGAAATTAGCAAGTCCGTGACAGTTGGTATCAGAGCCAGGTTTGCTCACTTACTATCGTTGGCATGGCGGAAAAAGATGTTGTGGGATCCGGCATTTCGGAAGTAGAACATGACGAGCGGGGTCGAGAGGTCGAACCCCAAACCACGAGTAAGAAAACTCGACACACTCGAAGCAAGAGCCGACCACCAGCCCCTACCGGTGGATCTCTTGAGGAGGTATTTCTCAATATGGGGGAACGCGTTGAAGTAGTGGAGAATTCACTCTCAACCCTTGAAGCTCACACCTTGGAACAACTTGATGTCTCAAGGAGGACCAAGGCGCTTTAAGGGAAGAATATACGAGGTTGGAGGTTAAGGTCATGGATGCTGTCAAAGCGATCCAAGACCAAGTAAACAAGCTTTGCGCGGATATGCAAAGTGGCCTAGACGCTTGTAAGAAGGCGTCAACCAGTGCGGGTACTAGCACGATGCTAGCGGCTCCAAGGATCGACTATCCAAAGCCTAGGGAGTTCGATGGAAAGCGAGATGCAAAAGAGCTAGATGATTTCCTATGGCGATTGGAAATATATTTTGAGGGTGTGAACATTTTGGATGAAGCTACTACGGTACGTACTTCGACTATGTATCTTACCGACACCGCGGCTCTATGGTGGCGACGTAAGCACGCCGACATAGAAAAGGGTGCTTGTAGGATAGATAGTTGGGATGATTTCAAGAGGGAATTGAAACGCCAATTTTATCCCGAAAATGTAGTATATGAGGCCCGTAAAAAGCTTAGGGAGTTGAAACATAAGGGCACTATTCGCGATTATGGCAAGGAGTTTACTACCCTTGTGCTTCAAATCCTGAGCATGTCAGATGAAGATCTATTGTTTCACTTTACCAACGGATTACAAAATTGGGCGAAGCAAGAACTTCAACGTCGGGGAGTGAAGACAGTAGACGAGGCTATTGTGGTGGCCGAATCTTTAACCGAGTTCCAAAGGAGCACGGATTCATCGAAATCTTCTAAAAGCTTTAAGAGTAACTCGGCTAAAGGCGGGGGAGAGAAGAAAGATTACCATAAGTCATCATTCTTCAAAGGTGGTAACACTTACAAACCTTTCCCCTCGCGAAAAAATTATGAGGAAAAGAAGAAGGCCTCGACGGGCTCTCAAAGTGGATGCTTCGTGTGCAAGGGGCCACACTTAATGCGTGATTGCCCTAAACTTGGCACATTGGCGGCTATGGCGGAGGAACGGGATTCATCCTCTTGCCAAGAGCAAAGGGCGGAACATTTTAGTTCATTGCAACTTCTTAACGCTCTCAATGCTAAGGTCGTTCCGGCTTCCAATAATGACCGAGGATTAATGTATGTGGAAGCTCAAGTAAATAGTCGGCCCGCACTATCAATGGTAGATACGGGAGCTACCAACAACTTCATTACTGAAGATGAGGCTAGAAGGTTGGGCCTCACAATCACTAAAAGTGGTGGTCTTATGAAAGTCGTGAATTCTCCATCAACGCCCCTTGGTGGCATAGTTCAAGGGGTGGAAATTCAATTAGGCACTTGGCATGGCCAAGTGGATTTTTCGGTGGCTACAATGGATGATTTTCGCTTGGTTCTCGGGTTGGACTTCATGAGGAAGGTCAATGCTATTCCTATGCCTTCCTTTGGCTCGGTTTGCATCTTGGAGAGGGGTTCTCCATGTATGGTTCCTACGGTAGCTAGGACGAAAGCAAGAGGGCAGCTTTCGACCATGCAACTAGCAAAAGGGCTAAAGAAAGGAGAGGCGACGTATTTGGCAGCATTAAAAATGGAGGACCAAGTTGAGGAAGTTGTGGGTGACGATAATGTGCCCAAAGTCATCAAGAATGTCCTTGAAGAAAATAAGGACGTGATGCCGCCGGAGTTACCCAAGAAATTACCACCTAGGAGGGAGGTGGATTATAAGATTGAGTTGGAATCGGGAGCCAAACCACCATCCATGGCACCCTATCGGATGGCACCGCCGGAGCTGGAAGAACTTCGAAAGCAATTGACGGAGTTACTTGACACGGGGAGGATACGACCTTCGAAGGCACCTTATGGCGCTCCGGTCTTGTTCCAAAAGAAGCATGACGGATCGTTACGCATGTGTGTAGATTACCGAGCGCTCAACAAGGTAACCATTAAAAACAAGTATCCTATTCCTTTGATTGCTGATTTATTTGATAGACTTGGTAGTGCAAAATATTACACAAAGGTGGATCTACAAAAGGGATACTACCAAGTACGGATTGCAGAAGGGGATGAGCCTAAGACAACATGCATCACTCGATATGGCTCATTCGAATGGTTGGTAATGCCTTTTGGCTTAACCAACGCCCCGGCCACATTTTGCACATTGATGAATAGGATTTTCCAACCTTACTTGGACAAGTTCGTGGTGGTATACTTGGATGACATTGTCATCTATAGCGACAACTTGGAGGATCACGCAAAACATCTCCGAACGGTGTTCCAAGCATTGCGGGAGAATGAGCTATACATCAAAAAGGAAAAATGTTCCTTTGCCAAGGAGGAGGTGCACTTCCTTGGACATATTATTGGCCACGAGCGCTTGAAGATGGATGAGGCAAAAGTAAAAGCAATCAAGGAGTGGGAAGCACCAACCAAGGTAACCGAACTTCATTCTTTCCTTGGTCTAGTTAATTATTATCGGCGGTTCATCCAGGGCTACTCAGCAAGGGCAGCCCCACTAACGGACCTATTGAAAAAGAATAAGACATGGGATTGGTCCGAGAAATGTCAAACGGCCTTTGATGATTTGAAGGCGGCCGTGATGGAGGAACCGGTCTTGGCATTGCCAGATTTTACCAAGACCTTTGAAGTACAAACGGATGCCTCAGACTTTGCTATCGAGGGTGTTCTAATGCAAGAAAGGCATCCCATTGCTTTTGAAAGTCGCAAGCTCAACGACACTGAGCGTCGGTATACGGTGGCAAGAAAAGGAAATGACAGCTATTGTTCATTGCCTACGAGTGTGGCGTCATTACTTGTTGGGATCAAAATTCATCATCAAGACGGATAATGTCGCTACTAGCTATTTCCAATCACAAAAGAAGCCGACTCCCAAGCAAGCGCGTTGGCAAGATTTCTTAGCGGAGTTTGACTATGTGATGGAATACAAGCCGGGGAAGGCGAATGTTGTAGCCGATGCGTTAAGCAGGAAGGCGGAGCTTGCAGCCATAAGCCAAGCCAAAGGGACATTGCTTGATTTGATTCGTGAAGGCATGGATCATGATCCCTTGGCTAAGGAGTTGGTAAAAGCTGCCCAAGAAGGAAAGACGCGACGGTTTTGGGTCGAGGATGGCTTACTCTACACTACGGGGCAGCGTATCTATGTTCCTAAATGGAACAATTTGCGGCGAGATATCATCAAGGAATGCCATGACACAAAGTGGGCTGGTCATCCAGGACAGAAACGCACATTGGCACTACTTGAACGGGCTTACTATTGGCCGCAAATGAAAGACATGGTGGAGCTCTATGTAAAGACTTGTCTTGTGTGCCAACAAGACAAGGTGGAAACAAGGTCACCAGCAGGTTTGTTGGAGCCTCTACCAGTCCCAGAGCGTCCATGGGACTCTATCACCATGGACTTCATTAGTGCCCTGCCTAAATCCGAAGGGTTCGGGTCAATAATGGTAGTGGTTGATCGATTCTCTAAGTACGGCACCTTTATTCCTGTCACCAAGGATTGCACAGCGGAGGAAGCCGCAAGGCTATTCTTCAAGAATGTTGTGAAGTATTGGGGGTTACCGCGGAGCATAATAAGTGATCGTGATCCCCGATTCACGGGTCGGCTATGGACGGAGTTGTTCAAACTCCTAGGCTCGGACCTACACTTCTCTACAAGCTTTCACCCTCAGACGGATGGACAAACAGAAAGGGTGAATGCTTTGTTGGAGTGCTATCTCTGGCACTTTGTAAGTGCCAATCAAAGAGATTGGGCCAAGCTCCTGGATATTGCACAATTTTCCTACAATCTACAAAGGAGTGAAGCCACGGGGCGGAGTCCATTCGAGTTGGTGACAGGACAACAACCACTAACACCCCACACTTTGTCCACTTCTATTGACGGAGAGAAAAGCCCCGAAGCATACAAAATGGCTAAGTCATGGGAAGAGCATGCCGACTTAGCACGATCTTGTTTAAACAAAGCCCGGAGGCGCATGAAGAAGTAGGCGATTAAGAAGAGACGGCCTTTGGAATTTAAAGTTGGCGACCAAGTCCTTGTGAAAATATTACCTCAACAATTCAAGGCGTACCGAAGTGTGCACAAAGGCTTGGTACGGAGATATGAAGGGCCGTTCCCGGTGATAGCTAAGGTTGGCAAGGTATCTTATCGCCTTGACCTACCTAGCACTTTAAAGATTCATCCCGTCTTCCATGTGAGCATGTTGAAGCCATATCATGAAGACATGGAAGATCCTAGCCGAGGGGAGTCACAACGGGCACCTCCGATTGTGACTAAGTCATTTGACAAGGAGGTTGATGAGGTCCTAGCAGATCGCATTGTTCGAAGGCGTGGAGTGCCTCCTTGCCAACAATTTTTGATAGAGTGGAAGGGATTGTCCGAGTCCGAAGCAACGTGGGAAAGTCAAGCAGACTTGTGGCAGTTCGAAGATAAACTAAAGCATTACGCAGGGGAGGATGTCACGACCCGCTCGATCTTGGCACAAGAAGATCGAGAAATTTAAAATGTTGACGAGTTGGGGCTAACCGGAATATTCTAGACTCCCACAAGTGCATGAAGATTGCTAGAATATGGTGGGACATTCTAGAAACTACAAGCCCCTCACTTGGTGGATTAATCTAGATCATCCTAGTTTAGTCCATAGATATTTTGATATAGATATTTGTATAGATAATTCTAGAGGTGTAATTTAGACCGTTGGATAGAAAAGATCCTAGCCATCCATTTGAGGAGGCTACCACTATAAATAGCTTCGTAGGATTCATTTGAAGAGATAAAGAGAGTGAAGTTGTAAAAAGTATTCATTATTCAATACAAAGTCTTCTTTGTAAGCTCTTGTGTTCCTTCATTGTCCCTTTCTTAAAGTGTTATACTTAGTGCCTTTCTAAGACATCAACGCCAATCGGGAGGCTGACTTAGTGTAATAACCGCGGGGGCGGAAGTTGAAGACACTAAGGCCGCACGGTTCTTGGAAGAAATTAGCAAGTCCGTGACATTATGCTAGCCTCTTGGATGTGTAAAATTAAATAAAAAATGATGGCGGCATGATTTATTAGGCACAAATTGATGGTGGAAGAATTGGGTGGATGAATGATTAGACATTTTATTTTATTTTTTTATTACAAATACCAATTACAAACATGAATTGAATGTACGAACTGAAATTCTCATGTCATCAAATTAATTTGGAAACACAGTGAAAGATGATTATCATTAAAAAAAATTACAAATTTCACTAAACTTTGAAGAATTAAGTTTTCATGATGAAAACATATTATAAATGAAAAAAGAGACAAGAGAATAAAAGTCAATAGACGTATATTATAATGAGAATTGAAGTCTCATATTTTTAGGGAATGATTATGGATACAATAATAATAATTTATAGGATAAAGAGGTAAAATTATTATTCACTAATAAACTTAACATTTACAACAACATACAAATTTTTGCATATACATATATAAGCATGTATATTCACGTGGATCTGCGCGTCAACGTGAATCAGTTTTCCGCTAATTTATTCATTTGGATTAAACAAAAAAAAATCAAATAAAAATAACAAGATCTTGATGCTCAAGAATTTTATGTTCGACCCATATAATTAACATAAAATAATGGGAAATTCCATTTCCTTAGGGAGAAAATCATATTTCGGTGTTGGACGGAGATGAAAGTCTGGCTATTGTAAGGAACCTTTAATTAAATCTATCAATTTACTGAATTTTCGCTCCCATTTTCATGTTATTACTGTTAAATTTCATTTGTACTAAGGAAAAGGAAATCTTCCAACTAGATGTCCAAGTTCAATCCAAGATTTCACGTAATAGAATAAGTATATTATATAATTTAATCTGAGTTAAAAAAATATATAGACATTATAATTAAACTAAAGGGCACATGATTCATTTAGGGTGTCTCATTGCATTCTACTTCAACCAAACAATAATTATAATAATGCAATAGTAAATGAATGAATTAAGACAAACATGATGATCATAATAATTAAGAACGTAGCATTACAAAATCTCACCCTTTAAAATAAATTTCGTCCTTGAAATTAAAACATATCAAATAACTAGAAGTAACTGTCATATATCTCATCTTCACTGTTCCGAAGTTGCTCATTGTATAACATTGTTTCTCCAAAAATACTTATAGAGTTATTATCTTTCTTGAGCACTTTTTGTCTTCACTCTTTTCGATGATTCAATGACTCAAAGCTCGTAACAATATTTGTGGTAAGTTATTTTATAGAAAACAAAACACATTGTGCACTCGTAACAAAATTTGTGGCAAGTTATTTTATTAGACTAACCCATCGTCGTCCTCTCGAATAGCAGAAAGAGTCACTTAAAGTAATCACCCAAATTTCCTCTCTATAAATTTCACAGCATCCTTGTAGAAGCCGAAAAAAATTAGATTCAATCGAAATAAATATTCTAGGCTATTATTTATTATTTTTATAAACATTCACAAATTCTAGTAATACTAACAAAGTACGAAAATTTACTAAAAGTGTATATGATAGAAATCTTAGAATTTTATTTTCTAAGAATTGTAGGAAATTTTGATTGTGATACTTCACCGTTAAATAGAATTTTAGGCTCAACTGTATGCGGTTTGTGTAATATGCCATGCAATCAAATAATTGTTTTATATTTTGTTAAATTGATGGATACTAAATCTGGATTTAAGGGACAAAATACTGGAGTAAACTATTGATGTGAATCCGCATAGTAACAGCGGTTACAAAACCCACAACAAAATTGAAACCGAAACCCAAGCCCACCAACAAGTAAAGGTTTTGGATTTAATTCACAAACGATGAATGAAGCAACCAACAATTAAGAAATTATCGACCTTTTGATTACATAGTTTATAAACCTCAACTAGGGTTGTGAACGCCACAAGAAATTCAATTCATTGTTAAGTTTGATTTGTCCATTAAAGAACAAGAAATTTGAAGCATGAAGCCTCGAGAGAAAATTCTCAATTCAATTCGTGATAAAAAGTCTTGATTCTTACAAAGAAAGAATTAATTCCTATTTATACTAACGCTACAAAACCCTAGAAAATATTTTAAAATGGAAAATAACTCTAAAAGATTACAATGATTGCATAAAATTGGAATTCTAACATAAATAGGAAACTCGATGAAAAAAAAAAAAGAAAAAAAAAAAAGAAAGAAACTTTGCGTGTCGCATTTGTTCTATGCGACCGCATGGTTATATTTGTTGTAGTCGCATGGTTCAAATCAACCCTGCATCTTTGTTCTCGAGTGAAGGGCATGTGGTCGCATGGCATTATTTTTGAAAACTTTTTCTTCTTGTGTAGAATTTCGTGATGATTCCGTATTGTACTCATAAGCGAAAATCCAACTATATCTTCCAAAATATTGAATCCAACGTACCAAACATGATTTTGTCTTCATGACCAACATATAACGTGTTATTTGGCTTGTTAACTTCAACATTTTGGTCCATGTTTGTCTTGAACAAGTAATTGCATGGCTTTGTAGACTCTGATTGGTCTCGCCTTTGCCTTAAACCTCTTCTCGACTCGTTCCGAACTCTTGAAAATTCGTGGCCCACCTTGGATCACATCAAATATGTTAGTTTAATAAGCTGGAAAATTCGTAGTTTGATGTTGACATTGGACAATGAAAAAGATTTTGCTTTGCCTTAGTTTTTAATTGTTTGTTCAAACAATATATCAATACTAAAATGATTAAAACTAAAATTTATTAAAATAAGTACTCAATCACAAAATTCAAACGTATATCAATTAAATGGTGTGCCGTGTTATCGGTACTTAACATAAGCTACGCA